TTTTTGATCAACTGCCGATAAAGGCGCGGCATTGTCAGTATCCAGCAGACGCAAGAACTTGTGAATGTTCTGCGCATGTTGCATGCGTCATCTGGTATTTAACACATACACGTCACAATAATTCTAATCAATATTCTAATAAATATTGGATAAAAGCAAATATTTTTCTGTTTTCGATGTGTCGCAGTCCGACAACTTAGCACCATTCAATGTTTTGAATGGTCCTCAAACAAGAAAAATGCTATCAGAGGTTGCAATAGCAGGTTTGTAGAGACTTCAATTCTCTATCGATTGAGGTTAAAACGCACTCTTTGAACTACTGGACGGTGCGTCAAAAATAACGAACAAAGTGTCCCATTTTATTTGGACCACGCGATACTACTGGTTGGCGTGAAAAGGCGCCCACGCCAGTGAAAGAGTTAAAAGGACGTTATTATGCACGAGAGGAGAAGGTACATTTAATAATATTAGAAGACCTGGCTTGATGCAACTAATCCCTCCCTGTACCTGCATTTAAAAGTAAAATGGAAATAGTTCAGGGACTTGGATATTTACGCCGTACGAATCGAGTCAATGTTCACATTGTTGCATGTTTTCTGGCACATGTCAAGTACATTATAGTACAGTAAATACTTCTTTTTTTCCTGACAATAGATAAAAGTGTAATCATTTAAAACTTTTATGCCACGCAGATCTCATCAACGATGCGTTTGAGGTCAGTATTTAGAGTTCTATTCATGAATCTTTTTCATAATAATCAGTAAACAAACATTTTCACTTCTGTATTCAGTTTTACCTCTGCATCTGGCAATGATTATTTCTGAGTTGTGACTTGAGATATATTCCTCTTTCTTTGAGTTTGTTATTTTTTCAGTTTTTTTTTCTATATTTCTTCTTGTTTGAAGTAACAAATAAACGCGAAACAGTATTTAATGAAGCTAATTTCTCTGATATAGAGAAAAGACTAAGCCATTTGTATACGTAAGGAATTCTTCTAGTTCTTATTTGTGAAAACAGTAAAAAAAAATAAAGTTCAAAAAAAAGCGCCAGAAGGAGTTTAGTAAACATGGACATGACGTTATTGTTGTCTAGTTATAATACATAAATTAAAAAAAGTCAGGATATTGTAAAAAAAAGTGAAAACCCGCTCATAATGGATAACATACAAAGATAAAAACCTAATACAAATTTTTTACCTGAATAATATTTCTCCTACTATGAATTACAAGTAATTATCTACTGATGAAAAACAAGGAACTGTGTTTTCGTTGTTATTGGTTGAATTGTATAGTTAAGCCTCAAGATCCAAACCAAGACCTACTTTGTGACCACCAGCATTCATATTTCTTGCTTCAAATAATGCGGATAATGTTAATTTGACACCTAAAAAACAAACGTTAAAAGACTGCATTTATGTAAAGTAGATTTTATCTATCAGTCTGTGCTGACTTGAACTCTGATATCTTCGAAATTTCAATAATCAATATTTTTGTCTAAAATCAACTAACCTGGTCTAAGAATTTGTTGAAATGAGAGTCCAAGTTGACAAATATTATTGACTTTAGCTGCTACAGCTGTCTGTGAATCTAACTGATATTTGGATGCTAATGCAAAACGTGTTTGACTCGATGTGGCTGTCCACGCTAATTGTAAACCAGTTTCCAAACGATCATTTATTCGTTGGTACACACTGCCACCAACTTCATTGCCATCATTCATATTTGCATACAAGGTGAAATCTTTCGCTTTATATCCAACCGCGAAGTTATTCTTTGTCAATGCTGCCTTTGCTGTACTATAAACGTAATTATATCCTGCCAGCCAACCCATGTGTCCTAATACAACAGATCCATTCAATATTGGCCCAGCAGTATCAAAATCAATATTTGTCTCAACGTGAACTTTATCGGCTTGAAATGCTGAACGTAATGCAGCTGTCTTTTTCCTAAAAAACAACAACAAAAGTAAACACATGAAAGAAAGCCTAAGCATTTAAAAATTCAAGGTGTTAGTTGTTTTTCCTTTCTCTTTAGTGGATATAGTTGAAGAACCGTTAGTTTTATCTCAATAAAAAAAGACAAAATGCGTTATTTTTCTTTACCATCGCTGCACGTCATTTTGTGAACGCATTTTCAGTAAGCGTGAACCGTATACGCCCGATAAACGAAAACGTTTTATGCGCGTATTAAATCGGCATTGTATCCTTTGGAAATGACTAAATTTATGAATAACACTATGACTATCATATTTTTCCAAAAAAAAATGTTAGATGATGTTGATACATGACTCACATAAATAAACTCAGTACGTTATACGATATAATGGGTCAAACAGCGACATAATTACTTTGTGCCTGCTGCTCATATTTTGCTTTCTGCTCATAGGAATAAAAGTTCGATAAACAATAATGGAGTGTTGAGTGATTCATGTAAGTGTCTGGACCCGCTCCATGATAAAGAACTAGACTAATGCTCCGAAATAAAATATGAAGAAATTTCCACTGTTAATATCCTGCAAAAACGAATACTATCTTCGGACACAAAATGTAAACAACATACAAAATGACTAAGAAAGAGAAGTATATCTCTAAAAACAACAGGATTACCCACCCAGTGTTTGGAACCATAGAGGCATCGAATGTAAGTTTAAAACCCTGTGCTAGTTGATCATCAGCCGTTATTTCACATTTTAAAACATTTTCTGTGTTCCATTTTTCCAAAAATGTTAACCCTAAATAAATTTAAGAATAAATACAATTGTAGGTCAGAACTACCATTTACACACAGTGAACATTTTTCCATATGTCATTAGTTTTCAATAAAAGTGCTTTTGAGTCGAGAAAAATAGATTTTACTCCAAAAACCAAGGTTGTTTGGAAAAACCGTATCGCAGCCCAGTAGAAAAACCGCATTCATAACGAATGCAGGACATAACCACAGACATTTTAGTATAATTCTGAATCAGATCCGACCTGCGCTAACTTGCGCGACCTCATTACATTCTAAGCACCTATACGAAACGAGAGTTAGGTCAAAAATTCATTTTTTTTCTCCTAGATTCTAGGACCAATGTGGAAAAAATTTTCATTAATAGATAGCTGAGTGTGTCTAAATTCGGAATAGATGCTGTTTACAAATATGATTCGCGTTAATGAAATAAAGGAATATTTTTTCTCCGAAGTCGCTGGTATTTAGGCTATTTTTTGCTCACATATTTTTCCTAAAATTGAGCACGTAGAACATAATTTTTTATACCATTAGATAGCCCGTAAATCGAAGTATATGTGATACTATTTGAATCCTGAAAAGGCTCACTTTCAATTGTTCACCTAATGTCGGTCTGGATGCCTCACTGTGTTATAGTTAGTGGACCTGATTATCCTTTACTTAGAATGTTTTTTTCGAAATATATATGTTAATATATAGAAATTTAGGTGTCTGTAAAAGTTCATCTTAGTTTTCAAATAAAAAGAATATTTCCCAGAAGATAGAAAGAACAATTATCATCGCAAAATAATGATAGAAATTACCATATTCTTTCACCACATATTTTGTTTCTAAACTTCCAAATGTTCTAGCTGTTTCTGTATTATGTTCACCGGATACATTGAACATGACACCGTTTTGTGTTTTTGACTTTAGATCAAGTTTGAATAAATTAAAAACTAAAAAGATAAATAACATGGATGATTGAAATCATGAAAACTAAAATTACTTTTAACCTACTTACAGTATCCTTTATTAAATATATCCGTCACTTGACGGTTCATATCGCCAAATTTCGGTGGAGCCATGTTTAATTCGTGAACGAAAAGAAATTATCTAAAATTATTTTTCCAAATTTTGAAAAGTTGTTTGCATGAACAAAGTACTTTTATTGCTTTTCTCCCAATATGCTTTGTTGAAATGAGTATTGTTGTGGAATTTTCTTTTATCAAGCTACGTATTCTATTGTCACAACTTTATTTGTTTTCATTCTCAACGTGCTATGCATCAGTCATCAGAAAACATCTAACTGAAGAGCAGGAGAATATTTTATTATTCAATATACTCTATTGCTGAGTTTAAAATAGTTATAACTATTTTAACCATTATAAAAATATTATTGAATTATTTCTATAGTTTATGTTCTATACCCTTAAGTAAAAGATTTTCTCTCAAAATTATGCATATAATTGTCAATAAAAAAACCAAACCAACGGCTAAAATTTAGAAAACTGACTCAGGTAAACTTTGAACATAGCGGAGGGAATTGCTTGATAATTGAATGGACTTCATATTGCATATGGTATCAAAGAAAGAAATATAGATGGCACTGCTCTAAATTGTTTGAATGAAATATTACTTGTTTCGGACTATTGTTCTTAAACATACAAATTTTTTGCATTTGGCACAATTTTTTCAACTGTCCGATATATAAAAGTCTATTTATTATAGTAGCGCTATTTTCAATCGTGCATCTTGAATGAGGATTGCTGTCACAGTATTATTGGCTTATCAATTGACCCAATGTATCTATACAGGGAATTATGATTCATGTTGCGATGTTTTTTTACCTTCGAAATCTATCATCTGAATCAAGAACCATCAACTGAAAGAAAGGATCAACTGAATCAAAAAGCAATGACTTTTTTTGTTCTTTGTTTTTATGTCAATATTACCTTTCAAGAAAAATAAAAATACTTCTTGAAGGAAAACACACTCACACTAAAAAAAGTAATAAACTTTCATCGACCTGCTTCTTTAATCTTTTATTTTTTATTTGGTACGACTATTGGTGCGCTTATTTGGTACCCACTGGTGCGATTATTATTTACCAATTTGTAATCTCATTAAAAACTCATTGTCATTTTACTGTTGTCCCTTCAGTTCTTTCTCCTTGAATTATATATATAAGTACAAAAGTCAAAGCTAACGAGTAACAACCTGTTCTAAAAATGAGCGAAAATACGAGGTTGATCAACATTGATGGCATGACCGTAAATATAGTTTTTTTTTTATTAAAAACAGCACAATGTAGTTTAGAACTCATGCAATTTCACCATTTTTTAGTGTCAGTCGTGTGTCAAAAATATTGAAAATAATGTAGGAAAAATGAACGGAATTAGTTCAATCAAAGTGAGAACTTTAAGTCTAACAAAAACTTCATTGTGAATATATTCTTCATGTTTTTATTAGGTTTCCCTCGAACAAAAACAAGCCACAGTGATTTTTGACACCAGTCAAACGAATGTAGCTGCTATTGTTGAGAAAATTAATGATATGGGTTTTGATGCCGAAGAAGAGAAGCCAAGTAGCGAAGCACCTGAAACTTTAACGCTTTATATTGAAGGTGAATAACTTCTCTTACTTTTAAGATTTTGATACTATATCTAGCACATTTTTCACTCCAGAGTTATCATCACAAGCATTTCTGCTTCTAGACGCTTCCGTAATCTTTGAAGATATCCCATTATTTTTCTTTTAGGTATGACATGTACGTCGTGCGCACAGAAAATAGAAGCATCGTGTCAAAACTTAGCTGGAATCAAACAAATCAGTGTATCGTACCCCACAAAAATGGCCACAATCCTTTACATACCAACCAATCCACCTGATATTCCCTTTATTCTTGAATTAATTAAACAAATCGGTTTTCGTGCCACTCTGAGTCGTCTTACTCCAAAAATAACAACAGCTAAAATCAAAATATCAGGAATGACGTGTCAGAACTGTGTAAAAAGTCTTGAACAAAAGTTGAAATCATTGGATGGTGTCATTAAATATCAAGTAAAATTGGGCAAAGTCATAGTCAATTATGATACCGAAAAAATAACAGATATAACTGATTTAGTCGAACAATTGACTTATGGAAGGTAAATAGCAAAGTTTAATCGTTCTTAATGCTGACCGTGTTTGTGGTCGTATAGGTTTGAGGCAACGTTAGTCGATGATCATATAGAATTTTGTAAAATTGATGTTGAACTGGGCGGAATATCTGATGACAATATTTCATATGCAACTGAGCGTCTAGAGTCTATCGATGGTGTATTAAATGTCGAATTTCCATCTGAAAATGATAGTAGTAGGGCCATAATTGATTACGATCAATCACGTTTAAACCAGTATCAATTGTTTGAATCAATACAAAAAATTGGCTACCATGTGTCGTTGGAAACAACCGAGAAAACAAAACTGACTCGTTCTAATTTGCGTGTGCAGGGTATGCATTGTAATTCATGTGTAACAAATATATGTTCCACCATACAAGAATTGCCTGGCATACACGATATTAAAGTATCATTTCAAGATCAATTAGCTGATGTTGTATATGATAAAAGAGTAATTCAGCTATTGACTATTATGAATGAAATTGAAAAATTAGGATTTCAAGTAGCATCAACAGCAAAAGGTAAGACTTTTTTTGATTTCATAAAAAGTCAAAAATTAATTTTTTTACTTCTGTTAGATGATTCTGATCCATTAGCTAATATTGATGCACCACTTTCACAAGGTATGTATAAGAACGTTAAGCATTAACACTTTGTCTATAACTGAAGGTAAAACAAGGTTTTTTTATTTAGAAAAATATCGAAAAGTAAATCAGTTAGCGCAAAAGCAACAGACAACTTCACAACGATCTAACGGTGTTACTGAGGATAGTGATATATGTTTTGTTCGTATAGCGGGTATGACTTGTGCAGTAAGTTAATACCTTATTACTCGTTTGATGTAAAGAAGGCTACTTCAGCTATTTAATATTTGAATTTTTTAGTCCTGCGTGGATAGTATTCAACGAAATTTAGCCAAAGTACAAGGTAATGATATTAGATTCTAATTGGTGTCATGACGGACTGAATTCCCTTTGTACAAAGTAAAAGATGCCACAAAAAGAAAAAGAACTTGTGGCATGAACGACAATCATATTTTTTTTTAGGTTACACCGTCTTTATTCTAAAATAAGAAAGATAAGGCTGAGGTTATAGCGGACAGGCACATGACCTAGGTCTTTTGCCCTGTAGAGATAAAAAGGAAGAGAAAAAAAAGGATGTGACATGGTCGTAATCTGATGGTTCATATTACAGTATGGATATTTCTAAGTAATTGTTCGACAATCATATGAATTAAAATAAAGGAACAGAAACTTGAGCAGTAGAATTCTTTAGATCGATCTGGTTTATCAATATAAACTATCACTTCCTATAGATATAACAACATAATCGTGATTATGAAGATAGTGATAATAATATAAAAAGAAGTTAGAAACTGAGTCTTTCCTGTCTGAGATAACAGAGAATAAAAACATTTCATTCAAACACACATCAGTTGGAGAACACCGATAAATACATTACTCTAATACGTTGAAGTTCTCTGTGTATTATAAGAAATTAACAAAAGATGAGAATTAACACGAATAAAAGTTGTTGTACTAGGATAATGAATGTAGCAAGAACTTTACAACTTGTGGAGGTGAGAAGGTAGAATTCGTATGACATACTTGCTTAAGAGTATCTGTGTTTTGCGCAAATGGAGAAGGTAGAGAACAACACAAGTACGAAATGATGAATGATTAGCAGTCGAAAAAATAGGAAACAAACACTGATACTGTTTGTTGATAAAGAGTCACATAAATTTCTATTAGACACATTTCTTTAGATGTAGATGCTTGTCGATTATGTCAGAGCATATATTTGCATTTGCTATTAATATTTATTTTAGGAATTCATTCTGTTTTGGTTGCATTACTACCTCAAAAAGCTGAAATAAAATATAATCCTGAATATATAATTCCATCACAAATAGCTCATTTGATTAATGAATTAGGTTTTCGAGCGGAAGTATTAGAATTAGTTGAACGAGGAATGGATATCATTGATCTGAACGTAAGTAATGAACAGCTTCGATAAAGAAGGAACAAATTTTCAAGATTTTGTTTTTTAGATAGAAGGTATGACATGCGCCAGCTGTGTAAGCAAAATTCAAAAGTCAATGTTAAAAATACCCGGTATAAACACGGCTGATGTTGCATTGCTGACAAATAGCGGAAGATTTAAATATGATGCGAGTATTATTGGACCGCGAGATATTATTCATGAATTGGATGTAAGCAACACAATTATTTGACGCTTTTTTAAACTTTAGTCAACGAAACTGTGTCTTTGTTTTAAGAATCTTGGTTTTCGAGCTAGCGTTTCAAATGAAGATTCGAAAACATCTGGTTTAGCTAGATCTCATCGACGAGAAACAAACAGGTATATTACTATAAAATTCAATATTGACTGAAATTCCTCTATGGTTTTCTTTATTTGTTTAGATGGCGAAATTCATTTTTACTAGCTGCCATTTTTGGTTTGCCAGCAATGATTATTATGATAGTATTTATGACTAAATATAAAGATCATTCAACAGCACCACAGGTCGTTATGGGTTTATCAGTGGAAAATTTAATCATGTTTTGTCTATCAACGCCCGTACAAGTAAGAATTGAACAGTTATGAGATCAGTTTTAAAAGGCTATATGAACATAGAATTGATTGATAAATGATCTCTATTAACATAACTCAGACGGTAGTATACGGATCAACCGCTTCTAAAGGCGTGGTTTATTTTTTGTATTTGTAGTGGATAAGTGGTCGTTATTTTTATATTCAAGCCTATAAAGCTCTTAAACATCGTTCAACGAATATGGATGTTTTAATTGTAATGGCTACGACAACGGCTTATGTTTATTCTTTTATTGTTGTTGTTATCAATATGGTTCAAGGAATACCTTCTCCAATCACATTTTTTGATGTGCCACCTATGTTAATGATGTTTGTTGCTTTAGGCAGATGGTTGGAACACATTGCTAAAGTATGTCTTTTGTCCTCTTCCCCCTCCTGAAGTAAGATTGACTATTCACTGATTCTTCTCTTGAAGGGTAAAACATCTGAAGCACTAACAAAACTACTTTCACTTCAACCACCGCGGGGTACATTAATCAAACGTGATGAAGCAACGGGTAATATTTTGGAAGAACAATCTGTATTAGCACAATTAATTCAACGAGACGATTTATTAAAAGTACTTCCAGGTAATCTTTTATTTATTTAAAAGTAAAAAAGATTTGATTAGAAATTATTTAGGCGAAACGATTCCGACGGATGGTAGAGTTATTGATGGTACTTCGACGTGTGATGAATCATTGATTACGGGAGAGTCAATGCCGGTTGAGAAAACAGTTGGATCACAAGTAAGATACTATTAGTTATCAAATTCAAAGCAAAATTCTGGCTTGTGAATGATCCTCTTTTTCCTCTTTAATACAAAACCTCTTTTTCTGGGACTTTTTAGTAAAACCCCCAGAATTCACGCTATGTTTAGATCTAAAAGTAGCTTCAGATATATTATTTTATTGACGCCGTCATATGAAACAAAATTCAATCACTCGTGATTACAGAAAACAGTAGATGAAGTTGCTGTGAGACGATGGTTAAAGCAAGGTGCTAAGGAATCAACATTCGTATGCACATTGTGTAAAACGGGTGAATTAGATTGTGGGAACAAAGGATGACAGTCGATAGTACAGCATATGAAGAAAGATAAATACCGTGAAAAAATCAGAGAGTTGAAAGAAAATATCACATTCGTTAGCGATGCTATTCGAACAGTCAGATATGTTTCTATGTTAAACTAGAATAACTCCTTTTTCCTGTGTTTTTCTTAGTTTTTACTCGTGAAACACAGAAAAAAATACTTTAAGTAGGATGAAATCTTTTCTTTGAGAATCAAACCACTTTGACGTGTACACAATATTGTCAGTACCGTTTTTCGGTCAAAAAATGCCTGCTCTTTTCCTCTTTTTTACCCAAGCTTCTAATTTTTAACGCTCCTCCTCTGAAAGGATCATTGGGAAGCCAGCCAAAAATACATTAATTTTTTGTGTCAATCTCATGAGAATATTTGTATTGTTTACTTTCTTTCCAGTCTATCTTTTGTAAAATTGAGGAATACATTGTTACCTTCATTCCTCTAGGTTGTTGGCGGTACAAAGAATCTTAACGGTTTATTGATAATGAAAGCTACTCACGTTGGTCAAGAAACAGCATTAAAACAAATTATTAAATTAGTTGAAGAAGCTCAAACATCGAAAGCTCCAATTCAACAACTAGCGGATAAAATAGCTGGTTATTTTGTTCCTGTTGTTGTATGTGTATCATTATTAACATTAACTGTTTGGATCATTGTCGGAGTCACAAGATTTACATACATTGAAAAATTCTCAATGGTAAGAAATTAATGTCATTACCCATGTAGCCACCTTTCAACGCTTTGCGTTAAACATTAAACGTAATAAAAGAGAGGCTTGCGTACAAAATTTTGCAGACAGATTAACTAATACAGAATTTTGCAATAATTTCGCCTTAATAACCATTTTTTGCGTTACACCACTTACATTTTTGCAGTTTTGGTTTTGGTGACATGGGTATTCTTCATTTTATCTTATTGAGTTTTTTTCTGTTTCCAGTATCACCATGCACATGACTATAAAGCAAGCAAGACTGAAATTATTCTAGAATTATCATTTCGATTTGCTATTACAGTTTTATCAATCGCTTGTCCGTGTGAGTAACTTTTTTTGTATGCGATATATTTATTTTACTTAAAGTAACTTTTATCTACATTTTTCGTGAAAACTTTATTTAATACCATACATAATTTCGAATGTTTTAGGCGCACTTGGATTAGCAACTCCAACTGCAGTAATGGTTGGCACAGGTTAGTGACATACTATATTTTTGCATAAACAGAAGTGTGTTAGTGCTACAGAAATAAATGCTGTCTGATAATCGATTAGAGAAAAATATTCCTAAATTATTTATGTCTTTAAAGCTTTTCTTAATGTGTCTATTTTATAGGTGTGGGCGCCACAAATGGTATATTAATCAAAGGTGGTGAACCTCTCGAAGCAGCACAAAAAATTCGTACAATAGTATTTGATAAAACGGGTACAATTACTCAAGGCAAACCGACTGTTGTCGACATTCGTATATTTACTAAAAATGAACACTGGACACTAAAACGAATGTTAGCCATTGCAGGAACAGCGGAAAGTGGTAGCGAGCATCCATTAGGTTTAGCTGTAAGAAATCATTGTAAAGATTATTTTGGTACAGACCAACTGGGTCGTTGTCAGGATTTCAAAGCAATATGGGGCTATGGACTACGTGCACAAGTCAGTAATATTGAATTTTTGATGAAACAAAAAAATAGTGATCCATATAAATTGGGAACACCATCAACTCCAAGAACACCGACTGTTAATTCAGGTGATATGTCAGCGAATATTCCAGAAACGTATTCAGTTTTAATTGGTAATCGAGAGTGGATGGCTAAAAATAATGTGACTTTTGATGAGCAAGTTGATAAAACAATGGGAAAACATGAACACGACGGACATACTGCAGTATTAATTGCTGTTGATGGTACGTAAGAAAGAAGAATAGAAGCTCTTGACATACCTTAAAATATGTTGGATATTTTTAGTATTTTTTTATCAAAACTTTATCTGCTTTTTTTTCTCTAGATAAAATTATTGGCATGATAGCCATTGCTGATAAAGTCAAACAGACAGCCGCGTTAACTGTATTTGCTTTACAATCAATGGGTTTAAACGTTTTGATGGTAACCGGTGACAATGTTAAAACAGCACGAGCCATAGCTGCACAAGTGGGAATTAAAAATGTTTATGCTGAAGTATTACCAACACAAAAAGAACGTTTTATTGCTAAATTAAAAGAGGCCAGTATCAAAGGAGACAAAGTAGCGATGGTTGGCGATGGTATAAATGATTCACCAGCACTTGCAAGAGCGGATGTCGGAATTGCAGTGGTCAGTCATTAAAAATTGTTTATAACAAAAAAAATTAGTAAATCATCACTCTTTTTTCTGATTTCAGGGTACAGGCGCAGATGTAGCAGTAGAGGCGGCGAATATTGTGTTGATACGAGATGACCTAGTCGATGTTTTGGGCGCTATATTATTATCGAAGAAAACTGTTCGACGAATTCGATTAAACTTTATGTTTGCAACAGTATACAATCTTATCGGTATTCCCATTGCAGCAGGTATAGTTACGAAATTTTTATCCTTTCATAACAATTGTTGCTTTTAACGAAACATTTTTTTTTCCATTAGGCGTGTTATTGCCGGCTGGTGTATCATTAATGCCTTGGATGGCTTCTGCTGCCATGGCTCTATCATCTGTTAGTGTTGTCATGTCATCACTGCTCTTACGTTACTATAAAAAGCCAAATATTCAAGACTATAATACTAATCAGTACGCGCTTTGGTCAATGGCAAAAGCGAAAGACATTCAGGTTCATCGTGGTATCGAGAGTTTTGAATATACACCCAATGGTAGTCTCATTTCTAGTCTCAAAGGTAGTCGATTAGCACAGATATTATCAGGTGCTGTGTCTGCTGTTAAACATCGTGCATCCTATATCGATAAACAAAGAACAGCATTACTCTTAAATGGAAGTACATTAGCAAATGATTATAATGAGGAAGAGATGGAGTTAAATCAGGTAACGATCTTATAGTGTGATAACATCCCCTTTTGTCCCAAACAAGAGTTTTAATATGCTTTTTGCAATCAATCAGTGTACAATCAAAATATCGCGTTTTCCCTATTTATATTTCGTTTCTCTGCATTTAACTGTGATTATTTTTTAATCAATACACATGTACGAAAAACACTGCGAAAGATTTCATTCCAAAATGCATCATTGAGCCCACCAATTTCTTTGCTTGTTATTTGTGATCAAAATAGTGTTTAAATGTGTATCTAAGCGAATAAAAAAAGTGGAAAAACTCTCCAGAAAGATGTTTTAGAAACGATGTCTTTTTGTATAAACTTTTGCTAAATTGGCTAAATGAGCTTAGTTTTTTCTGTGATTTTGGTCAATTTTACAAAATACTTTTATCCAAATTGCTTTTTTAATTAGATGATTCTTCCAGTTGTTTTATTGTTTAATATGGGTCTCACCATTCGTTTTTCTTATTTGCCTCTATTTTTGATCAAAACTGTTGTTGTCTGTTAACATTTTGGTTTTTTGTCGTTAATTTGAAATTGTCTTATAACTAAATCATTATTTTTGCTTGTATTTTCAAAGCTTTTGCGTGTCTATTTGTTTAAAGTGGAATTCTGATATAAAAAATAGTGAACGATAGCGAGAGCGAAATTTCAATGATCTACAATATAAAAGAGCTCCGTGAAATTAAAATAATGTCGATTGATTGTGTCTTCTATCCGGGAAAGAAGGCATAGAAACGTGTGTAGAGAATCGTGTAGAAATATCATCGGGATTAATTTAAAGAAAAGAATGATTAAAAACACCATAAAAATGGTGACTAGAAAGCGAGAGTTGGTTTTTCAAATGTGAAGAGGAACTTTCTATCACAACTTAACAACCTTCTTCCATTTGACCAAATTTATACATCAACTACTATAAAGGCCGCTCTCTGTCGTTTTCAGATTCATCACAGTTCTAGTTATTATACGTTTTACTTCGAAATCCATCTTCCATCAGTTGATCTATAATGCTTTTGGTTTCTTTATAATCTGACATGTTGACAGCTTACATAACCATTAGTTTGCCATTTGCGTTGTATGCAAAGGAAGAGACCATTAGAAGAGAACTAGAGATAACGATCACAAACCAGAAACTTTATTTAAATGTTTTCGAAATCGATAACGAGAGGATTTTTTAGTTGAAAGATTTGCGTACAGCCAGAGGCAGTAGATTCGGGAGAGCTGTATCTTAGAGGTTTTCGATCATGCTGAATCTAATGGTATTATCAGTTTTTTCGGCCACCGTTGTTCATAATATGATTCCAGAAAGCCGGTTTTTGAGCGCTGTGGTTTACGGGTCACTTTTTTTCTTAGAACAGTCTTAGACATTCAAGTCAAACAACCATACAGGCCTTATAGAGCGTACTTTCATTTATCTAAAAATTATGCGCCTTCTGGAAACGGTTTTTTACGGAAAACCTTTCACAGAGACTAAGCGTTTTACGATAAAGCCTTGGATTTTTCTGTATTCGTATCAAAAAAGCATGGGTTACAAACGAATAAGATCACCAATACATGCCCCCTACCTTCAGGGTTTTTTCCAGAGGTATTCTAGAAAAACTTTATGGATTTTGTATTCTATATGCTTCTAAAATAATGTGTCTTAAATTCCGAAAGACTGATTCGAACCTCTAGAATGTCCTCTTTAAAACTACACAAGTCCCAGATTCTTACTCCCCATGGGTCGGGAGCTATGGGCATTTTGCGAGGAGCTACCTAGATTCAGCGTGGAAAACTATGTTCCATGTGTTTTGAAGATTCCCAAACATGAAGTTTAGCTGATAGGTAGGTCCTCGGAAAATGCCTATAGCTCACCACCGAAACCTGATATAATAATAGAGTATAATGAATATACAATAATAGAGGAAAAACAGAAAAGTACTGTTCGTACCTTGGATAATTTTTATACATTTCAAAGGCCAAGGAAACAATTTCAACGTGTTTTTGATATTTAAACTTCTCTGTGCAACTGTCATCACCAAAAAACACCCATAGAATCTTCATTTATTACTCCGGCATAGATTAGCGAATTTAAAGCGTATTTGGGCAAAAATGCTGCTGAATCAGTTGCTAATACTGTGTAACTATCTAAAGAAAAATTCACGAAAAACATGTCATATGAAATGTTGTTACATGTTGAGGAATGTTTGAATAAAATACCTTTAGACACAAAACCGGTATAGTTTGTTTGTATTGACTTCAAATACTAAAACTATCTTATTATCTATGTTTGATTTAAGTTTTACATGAGGAATCAAGAGTAGTTATTATCGATGTTTTGATTTATTCACCATTTGTCGTTGTTTTAATTCAAACATAAAATCAATTTCATTGGCATTAAATGAATCATAATCGGTATCACTAACCACTATAATATACTATAATTTTCTTGGTCATCTTCATCAACCTGGTTTGATTTTTTAAGCTATCATCGGCTGGTTTTCCATTTGAAAACAAAGTCTTACATTCTTATTACTATTGATATACTGTGTAAAATTGGCTAAGATTTGTTTGACCATTTGATTACCAACCTTTTCTCTAACGTAGAATAGAGAAAGGTAGATAACATAACAGACCGTTTTAAAAAGGTTTTCATGTTTGTTGTCCGCCATCTTGATGAATAACGATTTGAAATTGCAACGGTTCGTGTTTAACTTCTTTCCTAAAGGTGCAAAGATACCAGTAAAAAATGAGAGGCCAAAAGAATATATTAATTACGAAAGATAAAGAAAACTTTTCTGTTCCAGTAAATCGTGCTGTATATTTCCGAATGTTATATGTGCCACGCCGAAATGTTCATACGTCTTTTGATCTATTGGTACTTGTATATGATTTTACATTAACACAAATGGTCGATAACCACATATAAACATCTCAATGTTAACTATATCATTGACAGATGTTTAAAACCCTCTGCTTTTGATACATAAATGTTGATAATAACAGTTTTTGCAAAATAGACGAACATTATTGATTCGATTTGAGAACTATAGTAACACGACAGTTGCTCCGATGGCAGTTGCTTCCGTGATAATTTGCTCCCTAACGATACCTGCTCCCATTGAAGAGTCCGAAATGATTTTTGAAAAGTTAACAGTTGATAGAAATTGGCAGAAAGTTAAAATAGTTATAAATCGATTTATAAAATCACCCTATTTCGGATTCTTCAATGTCCGCTCCCCAACGACAAATAACACAGTCTCGTAGAGAAGAAAAAAGAAACACTAAGTGATACCGAACAAGTAAAATAGGAGGATGACATGGATCGATAAGAGGATCATCATATAAATAAAAGAAATAGAGCAACACTATTTTGGTTAATGGACTATGATCAATAAATCAGATTACAAAAAGAAAGTACCTTTTCTAAATGATCATGACCGATGATCAGCGAAATTGAAATCTGTAGTTACATAGATTTGATTGATATAGGCTAGATCGAATGACGAAGAGAGCGCAGTGTTGTTCGCCGAAAACCTGTTTCCCTCTAGAGGTTGCCAGGGAACGACTAAATTGTTCTCTCCTGGTATTGGAAATGTTAAATTAAAGAATGATGAATAAGAAAGAAATATCGGGACTTCCTTTGCCGTCTCGCTATTGATCAAATTTTTGATATTAAAAGTCATAAAAACTTGATCGGTTTTAATATAAAATATTTCAGAATAAATATATCAAACAATTATTAAGTTAAAAGTATACGTGCAGTAATGACAGTTTTGATACCATTCTATGTTATTCATTTGAGTTTGTAATTAAATATTTTAAAGAAAAGGCATTTATGATGCAGCGTAACTTTTTACTTAAAACTGAAACAATAAAATTTTCGATGTCAAAAATTAACAACAAAGACAGAAAATCTGGAGAGTTTACATTTTATTCTATTCATTTTTAATCATGTAACTATCATCTACTCGCAACTACTTCTCAAAATCTTAACAGGCTGAAGGCATTTCAATATGACGCCACTTTTAGGTATGCATCGGTTTCTGTTGTTGAAAATAAACTATAATCTATATTTGATGATACCGAAACACATGACAAGTAAAAACAGTAAATGCAACAATAATCTCAATCACAACTTACAAAAAAGTTAAATCAGACACGTCGTGGAAGCTGTCGCAAGGGAACAATTTTTAGGGGAGCAAATGTCTTTGGGGAGTAAGTGTCCTTTGGGGAATAAGTGTCGCGGGAGCCACTGTCCTCGGAGCAACTGTCGTGGATTCGAGAACTATATATGCAAAGCTCTAACTCATTTGTGGGTAACAGAAATTGTTTAGTAATGATAAAATCTATAGTAGTTTTATTAAATGAAAAGTTTTATTTTCAATCGGAAAAATTTCATTTGGTATTATTTTGACAGTTTGTTAAGTTATAGTAAGTTTCATTTAATGCCGTGATATAATGGTTTCGATTCTTTAAAAACCAAATGTTCATTATATTCTTGCGATGTGTTGCCATTTACTTTATCACCGTTTTCTCACACTAAAAACGCTCAGGTTGCATAATAACCGGAAAATTGATTAACTATGTTCTTGGCTGAATACACTAACCTTATCATCATTATTTTATACATCTAATACCATGGTCATTTTCGTCTATTCTCTTGTCCATACTCTCATTAATCGATACTATAATATATTTGGATATACTATAGATGGGTGGGTGAAAGACGAGCACGAAGAAACTTGAGCACGGAAAGATGAGCACGGGAAAGTTGAGCACTAGAAAATATGGGCACTAGGAAAATTGGGCACTAGGAAAGTTGAGCAGGAGGAAACTTGAGCACGAGAAAATTGAGCACTAGGAAACATGAGCACAAATTTATAGTTTATCCATTAAATTTTTTGTATCATAAACGGTTGAAAAAATTTAAGAGAAAGTTAATTTAATCAATTTATTTAATATACTGTTCTCGAAAAGTCATCAATATAGGAATTTTAATAATTTGTTGAAAACAAACAGTTGCAA